ACACAATACCCCTTTTCCCCCCTTGTGGGTCCCGGTTTTTTTTTTTTTTTTTTTTTTTTTTTTTAAGATTTTTGTCATTGGTCACTGTGGGCTCACTGAAGAGAGACAGAGTGAGAAAGTGAGAACTTATCCCTCAGGGAGGACAGCCATGCCGCAATCCCTTCTCCCTCTTATTCTCCTGGGGTTATGGGCATGCACACACACACACACACACACACACACACACACACCTAACATGTTTTTCAAGCCACTGTCCAGGACTCGAACTGCAGAGTTGGCCATGTGGGATATTGTGCCTTAATTATCACACCACCTGCTGGCACCCACTGCTTGTTTTTTATGAATAAAGTTTTACTGGATCATAGGCAATATTGACGCGTTTATGTATTACCTGTGGCTGTTTTGACACTGCCCCAGCAGAGCTGAGTAGTTGCAACAGAGATCACAATGACCCATGAAACCTAAGCTATTTATTACCTAGCCCTTCACAGAGAGCACCGCATCTCAGGCTTCGTGGTGCTGTGTGAGGGAGATATGTGCTGGGGGAAAACCACTAGTCTTTATTGAGGGCCTACTATGCTCTGGACACAGGAAGAGGACAGGGAAGGATAGCCTCCATCAGTGAGGGGCCTGTGTCTCAATCTCATTACACATTTTAACCGACCAGCTAACCCTGCAAGAGAGGTAAGATTGCAGCTACCTTAACTGATGGGAAAACTAAGGCCCAGAAAGGAAAATAACTTGTCTGGGGTCATCCATGAATGAAGAGCAGAAATAGGGGCTAGCCTGATCGCCTAGTAGTTAAGGGAGCTAGATTCTGGACAGCTGACCAGGTTCAAATCCTGGCTCCAGTGGCTAGAGACACACACTGGGCATGTGTGTGGGCATGCCCCGAATCCTGACAGATGGAGAGGTAGAAGAGAAGGGACTGTGGTGTGAGCATGCTCACTGGGGACTGCTTTCCTCCTGTCTCTCTCTATTTTTATTTCTTTCTCTTTTCCCTCATCTCTCTCGGTTTCTCTCTGGTAAGTGCACACACACCCCTGGCAATTAAGAGAAAATGAAGGGGGGGGGGAAAAGCAGAACTAGGATTTGAGCCCAGAGGTGAGTTTCCCCAGCCCCACACTAGAATAGGAATTAGCCCTCCACTCTGACACAGGAATGGCCAGGCCTTGGCCCAAGTGCTTCCCATAGCAGCCCCATGAGGTGGGAACTGTCACAAAGCCCATTTTATGAATGGGAAAATTAAGCCACAGGAGCAGCCCAGGCATCTCTGCCCAGCCCTGCTCACTCAATGCCCCCGCTCTCACCCGCATGTCCGGAAAGCTGGACCCAAGGGTAGTGTTTACGGAAGGAGACGACAAAGGGTGAATACTTCAGCACCGTCTTCAGCTTCTTCCACGGTTTGCTCTGTGTGGGGCAGAACAGGGTCCAATCAAAGGCAAGCCAGGTGGGCTGGCAGGTGGTATAATGATTAAGGGCGCTGGACTCCCATATGGCTGACCATGGTTCAAGTCCTGGTCACTTTCTCACTCTCTCTTTCTCTCTCTCTCTCTCCCTCCTTCTCTGGTCAAATAAATAAATAAATAAAGTTAAATAAAAGAATCCTTTTTTTAAAAAGAATTATTTAATTTTATTTGTTCATCCATTTATTTTAATTTGACCAGAGAGAGACAGAGAGAGAGGGAAAGCGAGAAAGCAAGCCACCAGGACCGGGACTTGAACCATGGTCTGCCATGTGGGAATATCCAGCATCTTGACCACCACACCATCTGTTGGTCCCCCCCTAAATAAAATAATTCTTAAAATAAATAAATAAATAAGGCAAACAAGGGAGGGAAGGGGCTGTGATGACAGGGATCGAGGCGGTCTTGGGGTCTTTTCAGGGCCAGTGCTTCATGGGATCACTGTTCCCAAGCTGCTTGGGGTGAGTGTGCCCCCACTCAGCAACCATAAGATGCCCCAAAGTCCTCAGTAATGTGGGGAACTCTCTCTGTCCATTTCCCTCGGTGGCTGCCATCACTTTTTGGGTATCAGCATCTCTCTCCACCTGTCTCTTCTGAGTCAGGCTGAGCTAGACCCTGTTGTAGTAATGGCCCCCTGCAAACCTCCCTGCTCCCCACATATGTACTCCCCATCTCTGCCAGTAAACCAGGCCAAATCATCCGAGGAAATGACAGAGGCTGGAGTTGATGGAGGCTGACTGCAGAGAGACATGAAGACAGAGAGATGACAAAGTATGACAGAGAGGGACAGGGACAGAAACAGAGACTGTGGCAGTCATGAGAGCTGGTCTTCAACTAATACCAGTTCCTCCCCCTGTCAGAGATGTCCTTGCCCTCCTGAACCAAAGTTATTGACTTTCCCTGGCCAATGAACTGTGAGTAGAAGTGCTGCTTTTGGGTGGAAGCCTTAAGGGCAAGTTGGTGACTCCGTGTTTGTTTCCCTGCTGTCGGGGGAGGCACGAGGAGAGAGTGGAAAGAGACATGGAAGTTTCCTCAGTCTGGGCCTGAGTGAAGACAGCATGGAGCTGTCTCTTCACAGCCTCACTCACCCACCCACTCAGTGACCCGTGGCCAATCTGTAGTATGAATAAAAATAATCCGTTGTCGGGATCAGCAGATGGCGTAATGGTTATGTTGCTGGACTCTCACATAGTCAACCATGGTTGAAGTCCTAGACCTGGTGGCTTAAAACTCCCACTGAGCATGTGTGTGTGTATGCGTGCATGCCTGAAATCCCAAGAGGAGAACAGAGGAGAAGGGATTGTGGAGTGGCTATCCTTGCTTTCTGTCTCTGTTTCTCTCTGTCTCTCTGGGGAGCACACACGTCCTATAGCAAAAACCTCTCTTAAAAAATAAATAAATCCTTTGTCATTCCAAGTCATTGAGATCTGGAGGCTGTTTGTTACTATAGCAAATCCCAACCTATCCTGACTAATACAGAGATGGCTGTAGAGTTGCTAAATACAGGGGCCGGTAGATGGCATGGTGGTTAAGGGTGTTGGACTCCCATATGGCTGACCGTGGTTTGAGTTCCAGACCTGGTAGCTTGCTTTTTCACTTTTCCTCTTTCTCTCTTTTTCTCCCTCACTGGTCAAATTTAAATAAATTAATAAATAAAGTTAAATAAAAAGAATTATTTTTTTTAAAAAAGGACAAATACAAAAGAGAATATAATCACAGACACAAAGTACTGACAAAGAAAAAGATGAATAGAAGTGGGGGGAGGTGAGCAAGTGGCAAGGTAGTTAAGGTGCTAGATTCCCACAAGACTGAATGTGGTTTGAATCCCAGACCTGGCAGCCTGAAAATCCTAACAAATAAATAGATGAAAAAATAAATAATGCAAAAAAAAAAAAAAAAAAAAAAAAAAAAAAAAAAAAAACAGAGAAGAGAGAGAGAACGCATAGTAGGAAACCAGAGAAGCAAACAGAAAGTGGGATTTAGTTGTATCACACTGACTCAACCGAGAGCTCCTAGAGGCAGGGTCTGATTCACACACACACACACACACACACACACACACACACACGTACATTCTCTGCTCCAAGCACACAAGGCCCCTCAGAAAGTTTTAGAGAGTGGGTTGCCTCCAGAGAAGGGAACTGTGTGGCTCACTGGCCCCCTACCAAGGGTCAAGGGCATGTTCTTCTCACCTACACCTCCACCCAGCCCAGCTACCTAGCAGACATCTAACTGCAGGTGGGAAGGTTAAACAAGGAGTCAGTGCATTGGATCACAGGCTCAGGAACCCCTGCTCCAGCTGCCAACTGTGGGGAGGAGGTGATTAATAATGGTTCCTGTTTACTAAGCACCTGGAACATTCCAGGCACAATGACAAAGACTCAGTGTGCATTAACCTACTTAATTCTAAAAACACAACCCTGGGAAGGTTGTTGTTTCTTACAGAGGAGGCAACGGAGATTCAGAGAGGTGAAGCCACTTGCCTGCCATCACCCAGCACAGTGCTGGGATTCCAGTCCTGCTGTGACCCCCACTGTCCTGGGGCTTACCCACCACACGCCTGCTGGACTACAAGTTTATGAAGGCGGGAACTGGGTTTGTCGTGGTCATGACTGTGTCCCCAGCCCGTGCCCTGGCTCACACATACTTTGAAAATACTGCTGGGATTAAAGGTTCATTGAGTCTTGTCATTTTTATATATATCATAAATAAACTTAGAATCTTCTCTCTCTTACCTTAGATCTGATGGTTAATCTGGGTTTCTCAGATGGTTTCGTGATGGTCTCAATTCACATGTCCCCTCCTTCAAGAAGCCCTCTCTGATACCCCAGGTCTGGCCAATCACCTTCTCTGGGTTCCCACAACATCCTTAGGCTTCCCCCACTGCAGCCCTAACCACTCCGAGCTATCTGTCTCTCCCATTGGTCTGTCTCTCCCATTGGTCTGAGAGTCCCACAAGAAAAGGGTCTTCGTTACTGATGTGTCGCCAGCAAAGCCAACACGGCCAGACACATAGTAGGAACTCAGAAACTAACTGTTGTCTGACTAGGAAGGCAGGATGATGACAGGGAAGGAGGAAAGGAAGAAAGGAAACTGGGTTTTTAAGGTCAGCTGGGATTTCAAAATGAAGCGAGAAGGAAGCGAGGGTGTTCTGGGCAGTGGGAACAACTTGAGCAATGTGTGGAGGCAGGACAGCAGCTGCCTCGTCAAGGAACAGCGTGTCCTAAAGCTTAGCTACAGCAGAGTGGGTCAGCAGGGGCAAGGAGGTCATACCTGGGGAGAGGCCTGAGACAGGAGACCGAACACAGCTCTGAGCACCTGATTCCTATCAGGAAGGCCCTGGGGAGCCATGGAAGGCACTAGAGAGGATGAATCTGGTCAGAATTTGGCTATGGAGGCAGATCTGGATGAATGAGGAAAAACTGAGGTAAGAGTGTGCGGTGGGGGAGGAGGGGTGGAGGGAGCACCAGGTGGCATGGTGGTTAAGGGTGCTGGACTCCCACATGGCCAACCACGGTTTGCAACCCAGACCTGGCAGCTTGTTTTCTCACTTTCTCTTGCTCTGTCCCTCTCTGGTCAAACTAAAAATAAATAAAGGAAGAGATAAAATTAAATAAAAAAAATTCTTAAAAAAAAAAAAAAGAGTGCCCAGGGGGAAAGTAAGTTATGGACAACCCACACCCAGCAGAAGTTTAAATGACAGCTTTGAAACCCAGGCAGAACTGTGTGAGAATCCTGGCTCTGGCTCAACTTGTCCAACCAACCCCAAGCAAGTACCCTAACTTCCTAGGTCTCAGTCTCTACATCTGTAAAATGGAAACAATAATAATCCCAATCTCGTATGCTCTTGTAAGGACTCAGTGTTCCCACATAGGAATACAAGGCACTTAGAATAGCGCCTGGTATAGAATAAGGGTTTAGGGGGCCAGCAGGTGGTATGGTGGTTAAGGGAGCTGGGCTTCCATATGGCCAACTGTGGTTTGAGTCCCAGACCTGGTGGCTTGTTTTCTCTCTCTCTGTCCCTTTCTGGTCACATTGAGATAAATAAATAAGTAAAGCTGAATAAAATAATTCTTTTTTTTTTTTTGGAGAGGTTTTTGCTATAGGGTGCATGCGCTCGCCAGACAGACAGAGAGAGACATAGAGACAGAAAGGGAGAAATCACCCCCCAGGGGGGATGGTTACGCCGCAATCCCTTCTCCTCTATTCTCCTCTCGGGATCTTGGGTACGCACGCACACGCGGCCGGGGTGAGGTTTAAGGCACCGGGTCCGGGATGCGAACCGTGGTCGACTGCATGGGAGTCCAGCGACATAGCCATTACGCTAACCGCTGGTTCCCTGAATAAAATAATTCGTTAAAAAAAAAAATTGTGCTGGGTTCAGATCTCAGTTCTGCACCTTCCAAGGTGTGTGCCCTGGGACTTGAGCTCTCTGTCCTCAGTTTCCTCATCTGTAAAAGGGACGAGTAACAGTACCTACCTCACAGGGCTGCTGCACAGACTAAAAGAGCTCATAAGGGCGGACAGTGCAGCACAGGGTGGGCACAAGAGCGCCAGATGCTGTTGTTGCTGACTGTTTTTATTATTATTCACCCACTTCCAGTTCAGCCTTCTAAGATGCCGAGGATGGGAGAGAGCAGTCAGACAGAAACAATGGCACAAAGCCCGGAGGGGCAGCTCCTTTACTGGGGGCACAGGCACGCTGAGGCAGGTCTGACTCACGGCTGTGGTCGCATGTGTGGACACGTCCCTAAGGGAGGTGTGTGAGATGAGGCGGGCCCCGGGACAATGGGAGGACTCAAGCAAGCTGGCAAGCCCACAGAAAACCCTCCCAGACCCACGTGAGACTCTTCAGTGTCACACCTGCCTCGACTCTGACCCTCCCTCCTGATTCACCAGGAGAGAGCCGCACCCAAGCTGGGCGCAAGGGTAGAGGATGTAAACAAGAGCCTATTGGGGACTAGAGGGCCACCAGGTTGGCCTCTCACTCGGCTGAGGACTCCTGAGCCCTTCAGGTTCACACAGCCCTCTCAGAATCCGATGAAAGCTGGGTTCTCACTTCACTCCCCAGAATAATGTACAAATGGGCTAAGGGATAGCGAAGGTTCATGACCCCTGGAAACAGCCAGAGGCCTTGGACTAAGAAATTTGGGACAGAAAGAACACCCTTTCTGATCCCCTATTCCAGTGTTCTTCAAATTTTAGGGTCACGGACTTTCCAGAGAATTGGACAGAAGTAAAAGACCCTTGCTGGAAAAATACATGCACACACAGACTCATACTGCTGACCATTTCAAGGTTCCTGAAGTTGGTCAGTGGCCCTGCAGTGTTGACCCCAGGGCTGGAGGCAGTCGGGCAGAGGGAAAGGCAAAGATGAGGAGGAGGATGGCTGGCTTGGAGAGGGTTAGGAACCCAGTTGGTGGAGGGAGGAGGTCAGTGGATGGAAGAGGGTGCTGGAGGTGCAATTGCTGGCAGGTAGCTGGGAGCAAACTGGAAAAGAACTGCAGAAGCAAAGGCTGGGGAGTCACGGGTCTGGGGGTACGTGGCTCAAGGGCAGATGGCTCCCACTCACCCCAGACCTGTCCTCGGGATCGCTGGCGCCTCCGCCCCCAGCCACCACATCGTCCTCAGACTCGTCGAAAGAGGAGGCAGAGGAGAAGCCGCCACTGCCAGCCTCAACAAGGGAAGAGGGTCCCAGTGGCTGGGCCTCAGGCTCAGGGGTCTCAGGGGTGATGATGAGGCGGGGCACAGAACACAGGGGACTACCCTCCAGGTGAGAATACAGATGAGTCGTCAACTCCCCAGGTTCTGGTTCTTCTAATGGGCCATCTTGGTTGGGCTCCCCCAAAAGGCAGTCTGTCCCAGGTGCTGTCTGGGGACCACCAGTCCCAGGCTGTGCCCAGGAACCATGGGCCTCTCGTGTGGGGAAGCCAGCAGCACCTGGCTGTCGCCGCGCTGTTTCAGTATTCTGTGGTATCTGGGAGCCATCCGGGTGTGGCTCTATCCAAGGACTTTCGGTATCTTGTGTCCTGAAGCCATCAGTGAATTCTTTCAGAGAGCCATCAGCACTTGACTCTATTGAAAGACGGGCTCCCCCTGGGTGAGTCCAGAGGTTAGACTTCCTCTGGTTATCAGTGCAGAGCTTGGCCCTCTCTGGCTGAGTCTGCAACCCGTGTGTTTCTAGCTTTGTCCAGAGCCCATCATCCCCTGGCTGTGTCCAGAGGCTGGCCCCCTGTGGCTGGGACGGGAGGTCGAACCTGTATGGATCAGTCAAAATGCCATCTGTCCTAGTCTCTGTCCAGGGACCGGTTGTCTCCAGCTCCGTCCGGCGGCTGCTCCTTTCCTGATGTGTCCGGAGGTTGGACCCGTCCGGCTCAGTCTTTTGGGCGGGCGACGCCAAATCTGCTCCGAGGCCAGCTGCTTCAGGCCCAGCCTGTCCTTCTGGCCAGGATTCTGTCTGGAGAGTCTCTGTCCCTGGCTCAGGCCAGAGGCCGCCCCTCTCGGGCTCAGTGTGGAGCCTGGACCCCTCGGTCTGGGCCAGAGATCCGTCTCCCTCCGGCCGCCCCGCCGGGCCTCCAGCGCCGGGACCAGGTCGCTGCTGCCCTGGCTGTCGCCGCCGCCCTCCTCGCGCCGCCTCCAGCCCCATGCGGGCCTCAGGGGCCCCCACCTCCCGGGTCCCGGCCCGCGGATCTCCAGCCCGCCCAGCCACGCAGGGGTTAACCGATACCCTCGTCCCCACCCCCCGGGGAAAGCCCCGACGCCCCGCCCCCGGACGTGACGTAGGCGGGCCCGGGCTCGCTCTGGCTCCGCCCAGTTCGGGTGGAAGGAGGTGCCTCTCGGCCCCGATCCGAGGTAGTTTGGGTTTGGGGCATTAGTGTCCCTATCGAGCACCGATGTGACCCCTTGTCACACCCCCGCGTGGCCAGCCATACCTCCCCAAACCCTCAAGTAAACAGATCGGCCTCCCCACAGCCGCCGGTGACGAGTCCGAGTTCGGCCACGCGCGCATTCTTCATGCAGAGTCGAGACAGACTTGCAAAGGCTTGGGGAGCCCACGGACGTTGGGGACCCGCCTCTGCCACTTGAGCAAGTGACTCATGTTCCATTGAATTCCTGTAAGAAGTCTCTCATGTTCTTGTTCCGTAACGGGTCCTGACATCATTTCGCTGCTTCTCTCTCAGTAAGGGTAAGCAGAAAGGGATGCTATGGCCCTATCTTACAGCCCAAGATCCTGGGGGCCTGGTGGTGGTACAACAATTGGACTCACATGGAAAGGTAGGCGGTAAGAGCCTTGGTCCCCATCCCAGGGGAACTCCCTGAGCACCAAGTATGTGAGGGCCCTGTTGGGGATGCCATCTGTCTCAAAAAGAAAAAAAAAAAAATTTAAAAACAAACTAAGGCCGACCAGTAGGTGATGTGGTGATTGAGACACTGGATACTCCCACATGAACGGCAGCAGTTCAAGTCCTGAACCTGGCGGCTTACCTCTCTCTCTCTCAATTTCTGGTCAAATTAAAATAAATGAAGGAATAAATAAAATTAACTGATTTTTTTAAGAGTAAAATAAAGTAAAGACACACAAAAAGAGGGCCAGGGCCAGCAGGTGTTGTACTGGTTAAGGCATTAGATTACCATGTGGTCAGCTATGGTTCTAGTCCCAGAACTGCAGCTTGCTTTCTCACTTATCCTATGTCTCTCTCTGGTGACTGCACGTGCACTATAGCAAATTTTAAAATACTACTAATAAATAAAATATAAAATTAAAACTTTAAAAAAAAGTGTTGGAACCAGTAGATGGTGTAGTGGTTATGTCACTGGATTCTCACACAGCTGACTATGGTTCAAGTCCCAGACCTGGAGGTTGAAACACACTGGGTGCATGTGCATGCGTGCATGCATGCCCAAAATCCCAGAATAGAATGGAGGAGAATGGATTTTGGTGTGGCCAGTCTCGTGGGGGATGATTTCTTGCTTTCTGTCTCTCTGGGGAGCACATATGGCCTATAGCAAAAACCTCTCTCTAAAAAATACAGGGCCAACAAGCGCCATGATGGTTAAGGTGCTCTGGATCCCATATAACTGATGGAGTAGTTCAAATCCTGGACCTGACAGCTTGCTCTCTCACTTCCTCAGTCTCTCTCTCCAGTGAGCATATGTGCCTTATAGTAAATATAAAAATAATAACAACAAAAATTAAATGAATACGTTTTAAGAGGTTTTTGCCTTAGGGTGCATGTGTTCGCCTGAGACAGACAGAGAGAGAGAGACGATGAAAGGGGAGAGTGAGAAACCATCCCCGCTGGAGGGGATGGCCATGCTGCAATCCCTTCTCCTCCATTCTCCTCCCTGGATCTTGGGCATGCACGCATACAAGCCAGGTGTGATTTTCAAGGCACTAGGTTCAGGACTTGAACCATGGTTGGCCATGTGGTGGCCAGAGATGTAACTGCAATGCCATCTGCTGGCCACAAGATGAAGTGAATAATTCTTTTTTTTTTAATTTTTTTTTTTTTTTTGGAGAGATTTTCGCTATAGGGCGCGTGCGCTCACCAGACAGACAGAGAGAGACATAGAGACAGAAAGCAAGAAATCACCCCCCCAGGGGGGATGGTCATGCTGCAATCCTTTCTCCTCCATTCTCTCGGGATCTTGGGCACATACGCACACATGCCCAGCGTGAGTTTTAAGCCACCGGGTCCGGACGCAAACCGCGGTTGACTACGTGGGAGTCCAGCGACATAGCCATTACGCCAACTGCTGGTTCCCGAAGTGAATAATTCTTAAACGAATAAAATAAAAACACAGACAACCAAAAAAATACCAAATGAAGACACTGAACCTCACAGGTCTTTGTTCATAGCCACTGGGCTATTTGATATGACTTCATGTATGTGAAGCACGTGGCACTGTCAGCCACAGCCCCGTAGGGTTAGTTATTGTCGCAGGTGCTTTTTATATGTTTTGCTCCAAGGGTGAGCTGCCACTTAGCTCCTGAGTCAGACCCTCAGGTCTGGAGCAGGACACAGGGTGGTTTCTGTCTTAAAATTGAGTCACCTGAGGGAGAGACATTGGGCACAGGCCTGAGAGGCTCTGAAATGAGTCATCTCTTCCTAAACCAGTGAGAAGTCAGAGGCAGGAACTCACCTGGTACATCACACAGGTTAGGAAGCTGAGGTCCAGAGAAGGACCTGAGCTCTTCTGAGGGTCGCACAGGAATAGAGACAAAAAGAGGATTCCTATCAAGAGGGTACAATGAGAGAAGCATCTGCATCCCTCTCTCCAAGGGGTGGGAAGGCTACCCCAATCAATTGCTTCCGTTGCAGACTGTGAGAAGAGGGGTGAGTCAGCCTGTTGTGGGGGAGCGAGCGTTTAAGCTCCCCCCACCCCCACCCCCACTCCCCGCAACAACGCGCACACACACCCAGATGGGCTGGGAGCGGGTTTTCTGAGATGCCAAGGTTCCTGACTCAGCAATGGGAATCTTGGCTGAGTGTGTTCTGGGAAATGTCAAGCCTACAGGAAACAGAGGGTTCCCACTCTCGGCGCCATCCCTTGGGTAGGCAGGGAGCAGAGAGAACAGGGTGTGTGAGGCAACGGGCTGAGTGCGAGTGAGGGGGTTTATGTACATGGGGGAGTTGACGGTGTGAGCAGGAGACAGCTGGAGAGCAAAGCAGCGGAGAGGTATTTGGGCAAGGAAGGCGGTTGAGAGCCAGGATGTGGGCGTTTGTGCAAAGCAGAGATGTCCCACGTGAAGGGAAATGTTTGCTGGGAAGAATGTGCGTTCCAGGACAAATGTTGAGCCTGCCAGGGTAAAATAAGGGAGGTCGGCAAGATATTGGCGCAAAGAAGTGATGCGGCGTTTGTAAAGGAAAGTGGTATTGCCAGAAAGAGCGTAGGGAACAATGCCTGCCAGTAACAAGCACTCCGAAGTGAGGGGAAGGGCACGGGAGGCGCGCGCCCCGCGGCTGTCCCGACAGTCTCCCGCAGGCGGCGACCCCTCACACTAACACCAGACTCTAGTGTGGTGCCAGTCAGCAAGTTGCAGCTCCACCATTGGCTAGATGACCGGAGGGGGCGGGCACACAGGGGCTCCCGGAAGCTCGGGAGAACGCCCGCATGCTGCGGCCCGCTCCCGGACAGCAGTGGGTGCTTAGCAACCGGGAGGTGCCCGGTAACCGAGTTGGGGGGTAACGTGGTAGGAATTGTGGGTGTCTAGCAACAGAGAGGAAGGCGGTGCCAAGCAACGAGGGGGCTCAGAGGAGTGGAGAGGTAGCCCCGGAGGATCTGTGGGTGTCTAGCAACTGGGAGGACGCTAGCAACGGAAGGGGTGTGGGAGAGAGAAAAAGTGGCTTGGGGGGCGTGCAGCAAGAATTATGGGTTCTTAGCAATGGGGTGGGGATACCCAGGAGAAAGTGTGGGCTTCTATTAACAAAGGAGGGAGTCTCTGGTGGGTGAGAGTCTTAGAGAGGGTGGACACGGGAGTGTGGGGGCCTGGCAAAGCAGGGAGGCCAGCCCTAACAACTCCTGTGGGGTAATCCCTCCTCTTCTTCCCCAGACAATGTGGCTGAAGGCGGGTTACCTGCTGCCAGGGACCTGTGGACAGCTGGGCCCTACTACTGGTTTGCATTGTGGGGCCCTGGGGCCTGGGTCCCACTGGTGGGTAAGAGGCTGAGGAGGGGGTTCCCAAGGGGAAGAGGCTGAGGGAGGCTTCAACAGGGAAGAGTCTAAAAGCATTTAGGCAGACCCCACGAACTCCTTCCTTACCAAAGGCCTTGTATCTTGCAGAGGCTTTGTGGGTGTTCTTGGGCCCAAATGATTCATCAGGACGGGCCTGGAAGAGGCTTGGGTGAGGATGACATTCGCAGGGCCCGGGAGGCCCGTCTCAGGAAGCCACCTCGGCCCCAGGTATCATTGCCTACCCCATGCAAACAGCATCTAAGAAGGCTGCTGGCCCCTTAAGCTTGGAAAAGGGTCTGTCTGCAGGTTGCTGGCTCTCTGGGTACCGTGCCCACCTTCCTGCCCTTAGACTTTCTCCCCATTTCCCAGCTGAGTGACCGCTCTCGAGAACGCAAGGTGCCTGCCTCCCGCATCAGTCGCCTGGCCAACTTTGGGGGTAGGTGTGACTTTGGGGGATCTAAATGTGACCTAGATCAGAGGGCAGCATTTTAGACAGTAAAGCAAGGGGAGGGATGAATTAGAGACGGAAAGAAAGAGAAAGAAGAGACGGGGAGAGAGAGATGAATGCACAGTCCTGCAAAGCCAAGGGAAA